TTGTTGTTTTTTTTTGGGGGGGAGGGGTTATATAGCAACTAAGAAGCTCAAAATAACTTGGATCCTTGCCGCTTTTGTGAACCTTTCATTCCAAACAACGAGCAATATTTATTTCTGAATTACTGCTAGTCGTTTCAATAGCTGGTTTTCGACAATTCTTCCTATATTAATGGCAATAATTACTTGTACAAACAGCAAAAGGGTTAATTTAAACGATGGAAATTAAGTTTTGGCTCTTTATTTGCAATACTTTAAGCGATCATAACATATTAAAGAATTAAATCACTCAGAAAGACTTAATACGCGCATGCGCAGCTTTTTCGGATGGAAACAACTAAAAAATCACATAAATTGCGCTTTGCTTTCTTCAATAATAATTTCATCTGCATTTTTTTCTTACCATTACAACCCATGAATTACTATTAAAAAACCACATTATTTCCGCTTTGCTTTCTTCAAAACATTTTTCTATTTGATGCGCACTTTTAGTATTTTTATCATAGTAGGATGACTTCACGTAGCTTTTACTTCAAAAAATCACATTTGCGCTTTGCTTTATTTCTATATTTTTTGGTTTATCAGATTGTTTGTGTATCATTTAACACTTTGCATTTCTCTAAAAGTCTACTATTTCATCAGATTGTGTACGCATTTTTAGTAGATTTTTCTTACGCAACCTCAAGACTTTTCATTCGCGTATCACTTTACGTAGTATTTGCGCTTTTCTTTCTTTGCCAAATATATCATTAAAAAATTCATATTGGCTTTAAAAAAAAACGAGAAAAAAATTTAAAAATTGTGAAAAAAAAGTAAAAAATACCTATAAATTTTGAAAAAATAGTCTTTTTGTGATTTTTTTTTTTGCTCAAAAGTTCAAACCTACCCTCCCCTTAAGAAAAGTACTCCTGAACAAAGAGTTCAGGAGTACCCCTTAAAGGATTTGGAATAGGAGGAACTAAAGACCTCGAGGACAGTCCACTTCAATTGGATTTAAGACATAGGTGTTGCTTGTCATAAAAGACTAGTACAAAATATTAAGGCATAAAACTGGTGTCCCTTCTCCACTAATTTATGAAATGGTTTACTGAAGTGTAGCACCAGTTTTATGCCTTATATCATAAATAAGGTAATGCCAGCTAAGAAATGGAACTTCAAGTGCAACAATTCACAATTTAGTCAAAACTTGTCCAAATTCAGATATTTTTTTTTGGAGGAATAGGGACGAATCTGTTCCATGTCTCAGCTACATGAGCCTTACTAGTACTAGCAGAACACATTCTTGTACGGGTGTGGTAAACCATGGCAAAGGAAATGTTTTTGAGAATTAGCTTAAGTGGCGGATCCTGGGGGGTCGAAGGTGTCCACGGAACTGTCCTTGAAGGTTTGATCTTTTAGGTAATAGAAATATGTCTTTTTAAATTTTGCTTAAAAGTATCCACAAAGATAATGTTGAACACGAAATGATAGATATTTGCTTTTATAATGTTTAATTTACCTTTAAGTTCCGTTACTAGATAGTAAATTAGGTGATTAGAGCCAATTTTTTGTCAAACATGGACTAAACAAAAGAGAATTATGCACAGTTTAAAGTGCACATGAACCCTTCGACAATGCTTTCAGTACTGATTCTACAYRAAGTAAATAGTTGAATGGTAAAATATTTCTTGATTTGAGTGATGCGTTTCTAAGTTATGAAGGTTTATACTTCCAATATGCTAATGAGTGTGACGTCTATTAAGGCTTAATCAAATATACAAAATCGAACTGGTTCATAGAAACAGTATTTAAAAAGCATCATTATTTTACTCATGGTTTACATGAAAGCTATTTACAATTTTTATTTTCAAAATGGCCAGCATTTAGTATTACTAGTTACAACAAAAACACTCAAATACCTTACCTGACGTCATCATCATTAACATATTGGAAGTATAAACCTTCATAACTTAAAGACGCATCACTCAAATCAAGAAATATTTTACCAATCAACTATTTACTTTATGTAGAATCAGTACTGAAAGTATTGTCGAAGGGTTCATGTGCACTTTAAGAAACGGAACCCCCCTTTGAAAAATCCTGGATCCGCCACTGAGTTTTTCACAATAAGGATTGATGTTATGAATTTAACCGATTGGGCCTGTGAACTGTCCATGCCATGTTTTAACCACCAACCATACAGGCATTTACATCAAGAGTGACAAATGGTCTTTTGAATCCAATCAACTCAAGCGAAAAAATCAAAAAAATCAAAATTAAAATTAGGATTTGGTTACAGGCACTACACAAATTGAATCCAATCATCTTAAGTGAAAATATCAGATAAATGTAAATGATAGTTAAAATTGGAATTTTGTTATCTAGAGCACTACACGAATTAATACATCTTCATTGATTACCAGTTGAAAGGCAATATAAAAAAATTAGAAGGAACTTCAGTATTAATTTGGAACCAGGATATGAAAAGTAAGTTGATATAAGCCAGTATTCAAAAGAATTGCAATCATATTTTACGACCATTTGCCATATCTTGTGTAACTTTTACTCAAGCAACACCTATCTCAGACTACGTTATGAGCACACCAAGCCCTATGGGATAATCAGCAAGTCACTGAATAGTATAGAATTTGCTTTTCCTTTTTTCCCCCGTTATTTTCTGTGTATTTAAGTACCAATTGCAATATGATTTTTAAAGAGAATATCAGATAGATGACAAAGTTTAATGAAATCTTATATCAACAACAGCCAAAAGTACTTAAATGATAAGCAAAACATATTGTGGAGTCACCATAACAGTTTGATCTTAGTAAATCTCAAAATACTTTCAATAAGGCTAAGCTGAATGAAAAAAAATGATTTGTTCCTCAATTTGAGTTGATTGTCAAAACACAAAAGGTTTTATAATATTAGTAGGTTTGATATGGCAAAGCTGTCAACAAAATAGACAAGTTTAGTTTAGGCATAACGTTTCCCTACTTCAAAGATGTCATTTGAAATAGGAAACAAAATCAGTCTATTAAATATTCCAGTTCAATTTCGTACACAGTGCATCTATCTGACCTTTGGTGTGCTCACTTGCAGTCATTAAGTTAAAGTTTCACCACTTTAAGAATAAATGAAATTGTTTCAAAGGTTATAGCAACCTTAACTTAATTAACAGAAATAATTTTGAAATTGCATGTTTCAACCAATATCCTCTATGAAATTTAAATATAATCAAATTTAAATATAAATTTTAATATAAGAATTGGAACTGGCAATAAGGTGTATACAGTGTATACTGTATGTATACGACTAGAAAAATATCAATATTTATACCAATATTATGCAAATAAAATGGTTTGTTATTAAGCAAATAATATGGTTGAGCAGTGTAAGAGGATGTTAGCAGAAAACAACAAAACTGAATGCTGGTAAATCATGCACTTGACTTACCGTGTGGAGGGACAGAAGCCAGGAACATGGCAGCCAGATAAATATTCTATCATATAACATATCAAAAACAAATGAATCAAATACTTTCAAATACTAAACATTTAGTAGACCCTTACTATAAAAACATGGTGCAAAAAAAAGAGAGAGAGAGAGAAAAAAGAAAAAAGAAAAAAAAGGGGGGGGGGGGAAAGGGAAAAGAAAAATGAAAAACAAATACAAAAAAAAAGAAAAAAAGTCCAAAATGGAGGCCAAATTCAGATGAGATTATGATAATGTAAAAAAATATGTTTTTGGTCGATGTGAATAGAGTAACTGAAGATACACCTGTAGGTTAGTAGGGTTCTACCATATCACCAGAAAGGCATTAGAGAGTTGAAATATGTAAAAAAATATACCCATATGCTCCGGCAAATTCAGATATGCAAATTAGGAGTTTTGGTACATCATTTGGAATTTGGAATTTCAAGATAGCAGTTTCTCTCACTAATTAAAATTCTTGATGAATTTCCTGATTTTCAGAGGAGATTTACTGAATCTTTCAATCATTCAAACATTTATTGAATCATTGTATTCTGTTCTAGGCTTTCCGCAAATCATTAGATTAATTTTATTGTATGGTAATGTATTTGGAAATTTGATTAAATTTTAAAAAAAATAAAAAAAATTGGAATATCTGTTTTTAATTTACTGTAGGTTTGAGAATTTTTGAAAAGAACATGATTTACTGGAAGGAAATTTAAGAAAAAAGTTGCATTTCTGTAGCATCACACAAAATAAAAGCATGGCTGTTACACGTTTCGACCCCCTTATGACTATTTGATATCCTCAAATGCATCAATGAATGTGGCTGGCAATGATTATGACGTACAGTATCCTCTTACTAAGCCAAAATTAAATCAAAATTTAAAAGAAACATAATGAAATGAATAATCAATTGAATTTGACAAGCAAAAAAATATTGGTTATCAAAGGAATTTATTGAAGTGAAAGGATACTGGACCAATTGACCTAATTCACTATGACGTCACTGCTTGTTTATGTCGGGGATAGAATCGCCAAATCCAATAGAAAATTCAACTAAATTTGCTCCTAGCGAAACAGTTTTATCTAAAATGGCCTGGTTTTCAGATATAATATGTGTTAATATGTACTAAAATATATTCTGAGCGTTTGCTGGCTATTCTACTTTTCTTTGTGGAATGATACCGGATTTAGAACAATTTTCGGTTAGTTTGCGTTGATTTGACCCCGTCCGACGACCATGATCCTTTGCGTTTAAACAATAGATTGTTGAATATTGTTTTGATGTGACGTCATAGTGAAGTAGGGCAATTGAAAACAAAGTCAACAATAAATTCAATGCAAAATGTCAATGAAGCAGTTTGTTATGAAAAAGCTTTTTTCACAATTCTGTGCATCAACAGGGTCCAATGGCTTGATATATTTTTTAGATAACTCATTATGGAATTTTGTGTGAAACAACTACAGTAGCTGAAATGATTTTTTTTCTTGACCAGAATAAATATTTTATAAAATAAATTCATGAATGTACATTGAAATAGAAATTTTGAAAGAAAAAAATTGTACAAAATTTTGAAAAAACCTTTTTCATGAATCAATATTCACATAAATAATATCATCATTCAGTGTCAAAATCAATGTAAATGAAAACAACAGCAAAATCAAAAAGAATTGGGGGGGGGGATGTGAGTACAATAAATTATAAAAAATATGTCAATGAATAGTTCCAATTAGAGTCGGCTCCAAGCCAGCCAGCCAGCCAGTCAATAGTTTCAGCATATGTGCATAATTTACCAGCATTTAGTGAATTAACAAAATAAAAATAAAAGGATGTGATCACTTTTCATTTGTAATAAAAAGTTCACACAACCTTTACTATAGTGTGTTCTAAGTTCTTAAAGTGGTGAAAAATTCTACATGCAATAATTTCTTATCATATGTAGATATTATTATAAGTATTCACCTTTTATGAAGTGAATTTCAGTAACTGGCTTACCAAGAATTGTCAAGGTAAATACTAACCAAAATTCACTTCATCCGAGGTGAATACATAATATATAGTAGATGATTACGCAGGTAAACATATACTGGAATGTGCAACAGTATCAAATTCACCTGCATAATTTTACTAAATATCTATCGTTAACTCCAGCTAGTCTCCCTAGTAGAGATGAATCTGTGACCAACTAAAAAAGAGAAAAAAGTGTCAGTATGATGGTCTTACAATCAGAGATAAGCAACAAATACCAAGTGCTGCAAAAATCAACAACACCCCTTGGCCTCACCCATTTGTTTTCTTTTTCTGGGGATGGGAAAGTGGTGTATTTTTTATTATTAATAGCGCAGCACAACCGTGATGTCATAAAAACAAAAACAAAGACAAAATTCGGACAAACAAACTTACAAGTTTACTTTCAGCAGATAATTTTCACAGTTGATCTTAGTTTACATGGGTTATTATTGTAACTTTAAGTAAAAATGATAAAATCGATTCGTATAATCCTCATAGCGGTTAAACAGAATGCAATGTTTGTTCGAATCTTTAAGCTATTTTTAGAATCAGTGCACTGCACCATTGACTACTTGATCCAATTGTTTTCTGTATTTTATTTTCAACCAAAAGTGATACAATGCCAAAAGCCTATCAGGGTGAAAAAAGGACTAAAGTCCAAAATAAGATTGGTAAAAATCTGCTACTAAATTTGGAGAAAAAGATAATTCTCTCATGCTTAAATATTTTTCTAAAATTCATAATTTGTAAATTTGATTCCGCAATCTGATTTTTTATCTCAAAAACGAACTTCATGAGCAGGAACATTACAGGGTCTTATGTGCCTTATTTGAGAAAGGAAACATTCTATTATTTCAGAAAATCTGATTAAACAATGCTTATCATTTGAATGACAAACTTCAATAATCCCTTTAAGATTTACTGCTTGTGTGAGTTCAATCTCAATCAAGTCAACTGGACATAATCAAGTAACTTACTGTAAAATGGCTCAAAGGATGATAAACTTATTAAAAAAAATAATGACAGGATTTGTGCTAAGGAATGCACTAAAAAATTCAAGGACTATTCAAGGAACAAAAAATGATTTTTCAAGAAACATGTTCAGATAACTAAACCATGGTTTTACAGTGCTTGCACATGGCCCACTTTTCAAGTCATTTCCAGTACCCCTCATAAGAGGGAAGTAACACCTGTTTGATACTGTACATAATGTATGTTGTGCGTAGTTGTAGGCCGATCGATATGGAAACATACAAGTAACAAGAAACTTTGATGACAAGATCTATTTTAGAACCATGCAAGCAACAATCAAAGCACAAGCAATGATCAAAGCAGAAATTCAAGCAGTTCTGCTAAAATTATAAAATTCAAGAGTTGTTTGAGTATTCTTGAAAATGTTTATTGAATTCAAAGAGTTTTCAAGAGGTTTAAAGAGTAGCATGAACCAAGTTCATGGTCATTAAAAGTAAAAAAAGTCCAAGGTCATTAAAAGTAAAAAATTCAAATTTGATGGCTTGGGGTTGTTGATTTACTGCACCATTGGTACTTTAGGGTAATGCCTCAAGAATATTTTTAACTATTAACTATTCCCTCGCCTAATAAAAAAATAACTTTATATTTGTAACGAAACTAAAAATTTTTGGGAAGATTGGTTTTTATTGGGGGGGGGCAGGCTTTTGTGGAGAGTGAAACATTTTATTTTGATGGGAGCTGTTTTCTTATTAACTTAATAGGATGGTCATGAATTTATTAACAAGTGAAGGGGGAGGGGAGGGGCTACAATCATTACAACTACAGCCCGACCCACCCCCCTCCCCAAATAAATAACGTACTTTCCTTATTACAGTGATTTATAAGCTTGAATTAGGTTTCTGTTAAAAAGACCAAAACACCACAGAAAGCCGTAAAATTATTATATTTTCCTTTCTAAATGAGTTCAAAGGACTGCTGAAAGTGGAACAATACCTTTTCGAAGTATTTGGCTGAGGTTGAAGCCTGTTAATGGTGTACAGTACCTGCAAAAACCGAAACGGAGTTTAGAATATAAGGCCTATTCAATGGATAAAAAGACCTAAAAAACATCATATAAATCACTAAAGGCAGAGAAGTTAAAATTATCTTAGTACCTATATGGTTTAATAAAGACTAGAAGGCTCTCTTACCGTGTGAATGTTGAGTTTTGTGTCTTTATTTTCCTCCCTCCTTCGCACGCCATGTTCTCCTTCTTGTCAATAAGTCCCCAAAGCATTATGGGTACACGTGCCTGAAAAGCCACAGGGAACCCACCTGCAGCATTAGATCATATCAATAAAACGTATTCAGGGATTATATTTATCACCTTTTTTAGTTACTTTAGATTAGAATTGTTCATGTTTAGCATCCGTGTTTAGTAGTACGCCCGTCCGTCCTTTCGTACATTACTTTATTCATTGATCCGTAAATTCATTGATGAATGCGCCTTTCTATTTCCTTCCTTCCTTCCTTCCTTCCTTCCTTCCTTCCTTCCTTCCTTCCTTCCTTCCTCATTCATCTGACATGAAGCAATAAACGAGTTTGAATGCATAAGAAAGAAAGGCCTGTTATATCATATGATTCATCGATAAATTCGTTAACAATATATATACATTTGACATTATATGAATGGTCAGTCCTGATCTCTGCTTAAGTATTGTGATACTTATTCACTGTTTTATAATCAAAATTATTGTTATTTGCCTGTAGTTCAAAGAGTTCTAGACGACAGCACCGGCACTAATGAGTCTCGATAGCGGCAGCAAAAACAGATACCAATTCTGGAAATATCCCTAAAACGGGTAATCCACAACCGGCAGAACGAAGCCTGGGAGTGGATGAACAAACAATGAATGGTGAGATAAAACAAAGAACGCAGCTCACATGTAGAACAATACGCATTGTTCACCATAATCCATGCTTTCTTTGTTTTTGTTATTTTGTCCAATCCCAAGCTTCGTTCAGTACCAGTGGACACCGACCCCCTAAAACAGTAGACGGCTTTCGTACTTACTGTACTCCTTTGGCTCTGTTACTCTTAATATAAGTAGAGATTGCTTTGCAATAATATGACCATCGAAAATGACTATCGAAATTTTTATTTTTAATCAAAAATTATCGATTGTGGTTCAGTCTGCTATTTATTGATATTTTTAAAATCACTAGCTGTGCAAAAAAAGGCGAAACCATTTTGCAAAATGAAATCAAAAACATTTTGATCAAAAATTTTTTTGATGTTGATATACTATTAGTAAAAGAAACCTGATCAAATGAGTTTCCAGGACTGCCCCATCGCGGCAAAAAAATGAAGGCTTCAGTTTAGAATTTATACGGTATTTGTAAATTTTATTTAATTTTCGCAAAAATATAACGTAAAACGTCATGCTGTTTCTTTCTTTCTTCAGTTCCTTTCTTTCTTTCTTTCTTTTTTTTTCTTTCTTTCTTTCTTTCTTTCATTCTTTTTTGGTTTAGTTTGGTTTTTTAAAATCTTGATTTTRAACTGCGTTTGCACTCGTGATATTTTTTTCTTAAACTGCACTCGAACCCATTCCATTTGCTATACAATGACACCTGTTTCAAGAGTTCTCAGTTGGATAGCGGAGTCTCACACTGCATGACTCATATGGACAGAGATTTTGGACAATAAAAAACATACGTTGTTTGTTTGTTGACTGCCTAGAGACAAAAAACCTCTATTTTCAAATCCGAGACTGGTTAAGAACCATTCAAAAAAAAATTTCCCACGCTATATTTGGTCATCGGGGGGTAGAAGTGCTTGGTGATGTTTTCAGGTACTCACGTTTGAATAACAAGGAACGTAAGCACAGACGTTCAGCTCACAACCTGTGAATAAAACGTACGCTGGATGATATAACGGAATGTTTAGTTTGTATTATTATACAACCCTTGCACTAAATCCCTACCTGAGGATCAAAACAATTGAATATATTAACATCATAAAAGATTTCGATTCTCAAGAGAAGTGAATTCTTTTATTTTGACCCCAGATTGAGCTGTTTTGACGTCACATGCAAGGGGTCTATTGTCCATTCATTATTGAAAACAGCTCACATTGACCTTTGAAAAATTTCTTCTGCGTGTGGGCTCTCTCTCACAAATTCTCCCTCACTCATTTCTATTTCTTCCTTTCTAGATCTTTTTCTCTCCCTCCAGTACAAGAAACAGAAAAATAAAATAACAAGCTGTAAATTTGAAACTGCGTAATTTTGCTTTTAAAGTTTCTCTGACAGATATATAAAAAAATAATAATAAGTGTACCAATGGCATATAATGACAGGTCAAAATAAATAATAACTGCATCAATAACACTATTGTGTCGTTCACATACGCCCTCTATATTATTATGCAAAAGCCCTTTAGCTATATGCACCTGCTCAGAAGACTAGTTACGCAACATTAATATGTTAAAACAGTCTTGGAAGAACACTTGAGTGCGAGGAAAAAAGAAGATGTCCCAGTTCGCTATTCGATCAAATTTATAGAATGACGGGGGTCATACCTTGCCTGGCGTTAGTCCTCGCGTGAACCATACACTACATCAGTGCATCAGCCAGTGACTACTATAGGGAGTTCTCGTTCTATAACAAACCCGATCATATTCTCTCCATACCATCTGGTTTGGTGAATGCCACAGAAATGACGACCAAAGTTACCGATAAAATGGCTTGTATCTTCGCTTGTACAAAGAGCAGGCCTTGGTGTGGATCAGTCAACTTTAAGATCCAGCGTGAGAATGACGGCCTTCACATTTGTGAGCTTCTTTCTACCGACATGTACACCAAGCTCAGTTACTTGAAGCCAGCACAAGGATTCGCTCATCTTAGCATTAAGGTAGGTACGACTCAATATTGGTACCCAGCACAAGGATTCACTCATCTTGGCATCAGGGTAGGTACGACTCAATATTGCATCCCAGCACAAGGATTCACTCATCTTAGCATCAGGGTAGGTACGACTCAATATTG